GAGGGAATTGTAATGGGGGAATTGTACCTCGGTGTATTGCTGAACCACCACCTCCGGCGTCGGACCCAAAACAACATAAAAGTCCAAAATTCCCCCAATGGTGCGGTAGGTGAGAGCTGGCGTGGGCTGGAATGTTACATCTGAAAATATAGGCAAGAAATGCCCAAATCAGCTGAAATCTCCCCCCCCCCCCAAAAAAAAAATAAAATTGAGAAATGTTGAAAACATGAAACGGATCTTTAATTTTTTTTCTTACCCATTCCATTGCTGTTGAGCAAGAGAACTCCATGGGCGTTGCCATCTTCTTCCAGACCCATGTAGAATGGCTGGACACCGTATGAATTCAGCTTGTACTGAAAAAAAAGAAGGATTTCCCATTAAAACGACACAGCAAACATCAGGTTGTTTGCATCCACCAAAAAATTCCGTTGGAAATCAATTGAAACAATGATTCAATTCATTATTCAACTTCAACCAGGGACACCAAATTATGCTGGCCCCAGATTTTGTTGTTATCAAATTTTGTTGTCACCAAACGTTTTGGTCATCAAATTATATTGGCCCTGGATTTCGTTGGCCCTGAATTTTGTTGTTATCAAATTTTGTCGCCATCATATTTTGTCATCATCAAAGGTTGTGGTCATCAAATTATATTGGCCCCAAATTTTGCTGGCTGTGAATTTTGTTGGCACTAAACTGCACTGTCCTCCCCATTTTTTATTTTTATTTTTTACCAGATTTTCTTATCATCACATTTTTTTTGTCCCCCAATTCTGTCAGCACCAAATTTCGGTGTTGTCAAATTTTGTTGTCTCAAAATTTTGTCATCATCAAACCTTATGATGGTGTCAAGTTTTGTCACCCCCATCTTTTGTCAGCTCTTTTTTGTTAACCCCAAATTTTGAGGTCAACGTACTCAAGAAGAGAGGGAAGCAGATGTAAAAATAAAAAATGCAATAAAATTACAACATTAAAATTTTAAATTCAAAAAATATGAATTGCGTAGGAAAATCTGAACACTAAAATCTGGCCATTACAATTTGAAAGTGAAAAATTGAAAAATTAAAGCTTGAGAATTAAGATTTGAAAACTGAACTTTGACAAATCCTAAAAAAATGTTCCTAGAAGAAAATGTTTTCAAAGGCAGGGAAGCAAATGTATTCTTGCCTCTACAAATTGCTAAAATTACTCTTCCTAGGAGAAAACTTCCCAAGTATTTTGAGGTAGAAACTTCTTATTTTGTCCATTTACTCGAAATGAAAATATTTTCATTTACTCGATTTTCGTGCTGGACTTTCCACATCATATAAAATCCACAAAATATAACCTAGACAGTTAAAAAAGTAAAATATAAACTACGGAGTTGCAGTTACACAGTGAAACCTTTGGAAACGTTTGAGCTGCGCCGATTGTTACACGTGGTGGCTTTGTGAACGCTGACATTTTTTAATTTTCGTTTGAATTATTTTAATTTAATGATTTAAAATTTAATTTATTAATTTAATTTTTAATTTCCGATTAAATTTCTTCATTTTAAAATTTAATCGACTCCCCCCCCCCCCCCCAAATTCTGGAATTCCATCAAGCTCAGACACAAAGTTTGACTTGAGCCTTGGAGGACAGATCCCTGTGGCTAAACCAACATGGGTTGATAGGAAGCAGAAAGCAGAAATCCCAGCAAAAAAGGGAAAAACAAACAAAAAAAAGGGATTTTCACTGACCCCAGGGGGTTGGTCCCGGCTGAACATGCCCCACGTGTGCCAGTTCATGTCACGGTGGTACTGAGTGTGCTCGGTCTCACCAAAGCCATAGAGGTAGGAGGAGGGCAGGCGGGTGGAGATCTGGATGAACATGTCACTGAAGGTGAAGGTGGGCAGCTGCGAATCCCAGCTGGGGGGCAGAGGGGGGAGCAGAAAGGTCAGTGTGCATCCTCAACGAATTCTCTCCTCCTCCAAATTCCAAATTTCACTGGATTCTCAACTTCTCCTCTTCCAAACTGCCGACTTCTCCTCTTCCAAATTCTCAACTTCTCCCCCCTCCTAATTCCGAATTTTTCCGCTTCCTAATTATCAGCTTCTCCCAATTTTAAACCTCTTCTCCAAATTCCTAACTCTTCCAAATTCTCAGCTTCTTCTCTGAATTCCCAACTTCTCCTCCTTTGAATTCTCAGCTTCTCCCAGTTCTAAACCTCTTCTCCAAATTCCTAACTCCTCCTCTTCCAAATTTTTGGCTTCTCCTCCTTCAAATTCTCAGCTTCTCCTCCAATCCCAAACTTCTCCAAATTCTCAATTTCCTCACCTCTACATTCTCAGTCTCTCCCCTTCCAAATTTTAGACCTCTTCCCTCCATATTTCAATTTTCTCCATCTCCAAATTCCCGAATTCTCACTCAAATTTCACATTTCTCCGTCTCCAAATTCCAAACATCTTCTCTAAATTCCAAACTTTCCCAAATTCTCAACTTCTCCTCTTTCATATTCCAAATTTCTCCACCTCCAAATTCCAAAACTCTCCTCCATATTCCAAATCTTTTCTCCCCAGTTTCTCAACCTCTCCTCCAAATTCCAAACATCTTTTTCAAATTCCAGACCCCATCCTCAAATTCTAAACTTCTTCAAATTCTCAGTTTCTTCTTCAAATTCTAGCTTTCCTCTTCAAGTTCTAAAACTCCTCCTCAAACTCTACGTTTCCTTCCCAGCTTCTACAGTTCTCCAAATCCTAAACCTCCTCGTCAAATTCTAAAAATCTTCAAATTCTCAATTTCCTCTTCAAAGTCTAACTTTCCCCTTCAAGTTCTAAAACTCCTCAAATTCTACATTCCCTCTTCAAATTCTACATTTCCTTCCCAGCTTCTACACTTCTCCAAATCATAAACCTCTTCAAATCCTTAACTTCTTCACCCTGTAAATTTCCCCTTTGGATTCTAAACTTCTCCAAATTCGAAATCACCTCTTCAAATTCTAAATTCCTTCAGATTCCACGGGATTATTGTGCTTACATGACAGTCCCAGTGCTCCTGCGGCGGATCTGGATCCCGAAAGGTTTGGTCTGAACGCTGACATCGTAGAGGCGGCGCTCGATGGAGCTCGTGGGGGTGCTGGGGAGGTTGAGTGGCACCGGCACCTCGTAGCGTTTATTGGCGTAATCATCAATCTGGGCAGGGGAAATGGATTTGTTTTAATCAGACTAAATGCAAAAGAAAAAAAAAAAAAAGTATAAATGCTCCCCCTTGCCCCCCAAAAAAGTATAAATGGGCAAATTGTATTTGTAGGGATCCAGAGTAAAAATAGTGAACGCTGTTTCGTGATTTTGTGTCGGCTGATAGAAGTGGATTTATGATCTGGAAGACTTCCAGTCAGACTGAGTTGTTCAAAATCTTGGCAGTAATAATAAGAATTATGTTAAAATACATGTGTGGGAGTAAATCTGTGGACAGAAGTGTTTTCTTTCAAGATTTGTTCTGTCTTAAATTGCTTCAAAATCCTTATGTCAGAGAAGCCAAAATTGGTGACGATGGGGCACCCATAGGAGCCAAAAAACTGACAAAAACGCACCGTTCGTAGAAGCTTAAATAGGCAGAAATGCACCACCATCAAACCTCAGAATCAACAAAAGTTTATCACCCACGGAACACAAAAGCTGATAAAAATGCATCATTCATAGAAGTGAAAAATTGACAAAGTTGGATCACGTACACAACCCCAAGTTGGCCAAAAATTGTTTGCTGATAGAACCAAAAATGGGCAAAAATGCACTGCAAATAAAATCCAGCATCGGTGGGAACACATCACTCATCAAACCCAAATATGCATTGCATGGAGAAACCCAAATTGGCCAAAATACATCACACATAGAACACAAAAATTGGCCCAAAATTATCACCCTATAGAAACCAAAGCTGACGAAACCAGGTCACCTGTAGAACTCATTATTGACAGAAACGGGTCGTCCGCAGGATCCAAAATTGGCAAAAAAATGCATTGCACATAGAACACTACAACTGATGAAAACACGTTGCCCAGGGAAATGAAAAAATGACAAAGATTATCATAGAGAGAACCCCAAATTGTCAAAAATGTCTCAATTTTAAAACCCCAATTGGCCAAAATTCATCACCCAATAGAAACCTGCATTGATAAAAACTCACTGCTCATAGAACCTGTTACTGGTGGAAATGGGTCCCACATAGAACCCTAAATTGGTGGAAATATGTCATGTACAGTACACAAAAATTGATGAAAACGCAACGCCCACGGAATCCATTGTTGGTAGAAATGAGTTGCCATAGAACCCAAAATTGGCAAAAATTCATTGCCCATAGAACCCAAAAATTGGTGGAAATGCATTGCCCATAGAATCCATTATTGGTGGAAAAGAGTTGCCCATTGAACCCAAAGTTGGCAAAAACTAATTGCTCATAGAATAATAAAAATTGTTGGAAATGCATCGCACATGGAATCCATATTTGGTGGAAAAGAGTTGCCCATAGAACCCAAAATTGGCAAAAATTCATCACCCATAGAACACAAAAATT